AATCGCCTGTATATGTGAGTGTGTGTGTGTGCGTGTATTTGTTTGCATGAGTGCGAGTGTGGGTGCTAATTATTATTGAAATATCAGTTGCTTGTAGGGTTCAGGGGATCTCGTAGTCGAGCAGTCTCGACTAGAGCTTTCTTACTTGTTTTTTCTAAATTAAATTTCAACAACTTTGCAAATAAGATCTCCAAAAGCTCTCCATTAATTCACTATAAATTCTAATTACGATTAACTCTAGCTTTAATACGTTTTTATGGTAATTTTGAACAGTTGTAGATACGGATTAATAATTGCCCATTCATTAGATACCAATTCATAAACTCAAGTATTTAATCTGCAAGACAGCGCATTGATAGAGCCAATTAGCGCTAAATTATCAATGGGGCATGACATCTAGTGATCGTTTGTCATAGTTATTAAAGTTAGTTCGACTAACTAGCATTAGCAGCACCAGCAGATGTCAGTAGAAGCTCACGAAAAAAAAAAAAAAACAAAACAAAAGCAAAAATGAGAACAAAGTGCAGCTGACTGAGCGGAATTTGCATAGTTTATTAAATATCGGACATAAATCGGAATCAGTGACACAGGTAAATCAAACACCTGTGCACTCCGTTAGCAAGTGAGGGAGTGAGAGGAAGGGAGGGCGGCCAGATCTCAGACAGCTACTCAGCGTTTGTTTTCAGCACAGATTATTACGCTGATTAATGAATTGAATGCGTATTACTAATGACTAGGCCCGTGGCTGGGGAATATTTGAAGTGTGAGCGAGGTAGCTGTATAAATGAAGTATAATAGGTCCGCTTCGCTACTATTATTATTATTATAGTTCCAGTTCGATTACCTCAACTGCAACCCTTGAGCCATGATGCCAACATCATTTAAATTAGAAGTTTTTCTTATTTTTATTTGCTATTGTCTCTATGCCTTACCTGATGATAGCTGTCCGATGATATATCTCCATTCGATTGATCAGCTATCTTCTCAGGACTTTTGTGTGTCATATGGTCCCAGATTGATTCGCCTTTGTCATCTGCATTCCAGCCGCCCTCAATTTGATATGAGGACGAGCCAACGCCCCAGAGAAAATCGTTAGGAAAATGTCGTCTGCTGCTCGCTGGATTCTCCACGCTTCTATTGTCAAAAAGAAGGAAGAACGAGAATTGGATTAGAAATGAATATATGTATGTATGTGAGCATTTAGTCTCTATCTAAACTCAGCTATCGACTCATGTTACTTTGAGAGAGAGCAAAATAAATAGAGGGAACATCCAACTTATTTTTTCCATCTGATTAGAGTAACATTTACTTTTTTATTGCAACTGGTCTCTTAGCGACATTTCTATTTAACAACTTTTTGGGTTTTTTGTCAACAGATAAACAAGATTTGGCACAAAAATGCAAGCAGCTTACCTCGCTATAAATAAAGACAGGCCAACATACATACATATATACGTACAATTTTATCAACCTATATGAAGTTCAAGTTTTGGCAATGAGCTGTTAAATATGTTGCTAATTCTTTGAAATAAAAGCAACCAAGCTGAATTGTTTGTTGTCAAACAAACAATAAATAAATAAATAAGACAAAAATCATATGCATATACACATGTACATATTTATAATTTACGAACATGTCATGTCTTGGTAAATTTAAATTATTAACAACAATTGCATTTGATGACTTTAAAAATTGGATGCAGCTGCCGATAAGCAGCATGATTCGTTTACACACAAAATTAAGGTCAACATTGAGCCGTGAGCATGGTAAATAATTCAAATGAAGCTTCAGTTAATTTTGATTTTAGCTAAGCTTCGATTAATGCCAGATTAACTTACGCAGCATCGATGCAGCGACTGCTCGGCTCCAACACCAAAGCCAAGAGCGCTATTTTTATTAGCTTAAGCCACATATTAATTATTATTATTTGTATTTATTGTATATATTTTTAATATTGAATTTCACACTTGATCCTTTGCACTACACTTGACACAACTCTGCAGCAACTTCAGCGTTCAAATCCCGTTGACTTCTGCGAGCTGCCCCACTTGATGCGCGCTTCAAGTTTTGTTTTTTTATTTTTTTGGCTGTGATTTGAGCCCGTTAGCGAAACGTTTGCGAATGATTGCGGCTGCTTTTATATCCTAGCATTTAAAGCACAATGAACGCCCGCTGAGAACGACTCACGAGATAAAAAAAAAAAACAAAAAAAAAAAAAAGCAAAACAAAACGCAAATCGACGAGCGTTCGAAACTCACCTCCGAACGAGTTGCGCTCAGCGGCAACAGGTGTGCGTGTTGTTGTTGTTATTGTTGTTGTTATTGCTGTTGCTAGTTATATTTTTATTGTTTCTGTTATTTTTTGTTTTGCCGGTAGCCTGTTGGATTAGTGAGATGAACGAGAAATCCCCAATCTGACGACGACAGCGACGATTCACGCAATGGGCATTGCGTTTCCAATGGAATTATTTAAATTTGTCATCATCTGGTTTTAGTATTTTTTTCTATCTCTCTCTCTCTCTCTCTCCCGTATAAATTTCGCGTGCATTCGCATCTAAAAGCATAAGCAATAAATTAATTTGAATTATAAATGTTAGTGTGAAGTACTTGATATTCAAATTTCGGTTTGAATATGGAATAGCTGGCACTATAGATCTAATTGTTATGCCAATTTTCTCGTCTCTCAAACTTTTCCAATTGATTTCATTTGCCTTTCATTCGGGAACAGGCGAAAAAAGATTTCTGTTTAAACAAGTGGCAGATAGCTACATCAGTTGCTCAGATAACAAATGATATTTGGAGCATGAGCACAGGTGAGCGAGCCAGCGAGCGAGAGAGAAAACATGTTGCAAAGCAATTCAATCAACGGACTTCCCTATCGCTGAGATAGCGCAGAAGTCGAGAAGTTTTCTTCGTCTTCTGGCCAAAAAAAAAACAAAAATAACAGACTCATACCTACATACATGAATAGTATCTTGAGCTGGGTTTTTCCCAAGCTGAAGCCACACATTAACCAAGAAGTAAAAGAGTTAATAGGACAGGCCAACAGGATTTAGTAACCATGACGTAATCTACGAGAGTCTTAGGAAAGATTGAGAGGCGAAGCGAGGTCAGCTGAAGGTCAACTTCTCAGCTAAATTTAACAAACGAAAATAGCTCTGGGCGATGGTAATTGTAATGTTACATTCTTAAGTTCACAGTTTTGGATATTCTATTTCCGCAGACGGATTCAGTACATGAAAAATATTAGCGTTCAATCAATTCTGGCAATAATTCAATTCAATTATAATTTTGGTAATCATTCCTCCATCGCATTTTACTGATTTGTTAAATGATTTCTTGGGCTTACCACATTTTATGGGCTTATAAATACTCCATTTATTTTAAGTTTGTAATGTTATTTATTTTTAACCTTTTTCTTAATATACGTGCTTCACACTTAAACATTCTTTTAATGTAACTCATTCAGGCCGTTAACCCACTGCCACGCCTACTTTCACAACTGTATTCAGAATAAAATGTAATTCAATTTGCCAAATCGTATCAAGTTTAAACCATTTTAATTTTTAAATCCAAAATCTTCCTATTAGCGATTAAACGTATGCAAAACAGTATAAATATTTGCAAAATTTCTCCGATTACCATATCATTTGAGTTTATGTTAATATCTGTTGCAGTGATTAATGATCATTTAGACTTGCCAAATCTTTTTTTGTTGGCACTAAACGCATTCAACGCATTTATTCAACTGGTTTTTTGTTTGTTAGTTTATTTATACGGTGCTGTCGCCAAAGATTGTGATTTTTTTGGTACACACGTGAAGACTTCTTAAAGTGGAAGCTGGCTTGAATGACTCATAACTGGCAAAAGCGAAAAATTCACCTTGCACAGAACTCGAGACAGTTAAAGACACGCATCGATACAGTAAACAAGTCAATGCTGACTGTAAAAAAAAACCCATAAGTATGCATATTACTAATTAAAAATGTTTTTCCCTTGGTAAAGACAACTACAAATATTTACTTATTAATAGAAGCTTGAATTATTCTAGTATATTGTGTCGAACGAAGCTCAGCTAATTATATTTGAATTTCGTATTAAATATTAACATTCTTTGTTAGTTAAATAATGCAACAATCGGCGATATGAATAATTCCAGCTAAGTGTGTCAATGCAGTGGTCTTTAATATTATTTATATTCCGTTAATGTTGATTTATTAATGTAATATTAATAAGTATGAATAATTGTCCAATTGATTCAACATGGGTATTTTTTAAATAGCGCGCCGTTATCATTCACTTTAGGTACACTTATCGATATGCCATGCACAAAATCGATGTTATTCTGATTATTTTACTATCGATACTTGAAGTCGATGCTTTGCACTGACAAAACGTAAACAACTGTCAACACGTGCGCGGTTTTACAAATTATTGAATAAAATGGAATTATTCACAGTAAACCGGTAAGTAATGTTAATTAATATGTAATACATACGTATATATCTATAATTATTATTCACAGATACACCGAGGATCAGAGTAAACTCACACAAGGCAGTGGCGAGGCGACAAATGAAGATGAAATTTTGCAAAAGCTTCTGCAAAAAGCTGAAAAGCGTAAACGAAAACATAAAAACAGCGAGGCGGCGGCTGTAAAAGAGCCAGAAGCAGAGCAATCAGATAAAGTTGAGGAAACAACTGTGCAAACAGAAGATGCAACAGAGCAACAGACAGAAAAAGAATCTGCAGAAGCCAAAGAAACGGAGGAAGAGCCTTCGCATGATTTCCAAGTGCTCGGAGCGGATGGCTCAGCGGCTAAACGACAAAAAGTGGAAATGGTATTGCCGGCTTGGCTGGCACATCCCACAATTATTGAGGGAGGTAGTTTGCAAGCAGCTGACAGTGCCGATGCGGAGGCAGATGCCGCATCCATTAAACAGCTGCCCTACCTGGAGAAATACATCCGCAGTGCACTCAAGCAAATGAAGATCAAACGTCTCTTTCCGGTGCAGACAGCCGTTATTCCTTGGATACTGGAGGCGCAAGCTAAGCCCGAGCCTTTTCGACCAAGGGATGTCTGCGTCTCGGCACCCACCGGCAGTGGAAAGACTTTGGCGTTTGCCATTCCCATTGTCCAGCTGTTGGCCAAGCGAGTGCAATGCAAAGTACGTGCCTTGATAGTGTTACCTGTAGCAGAGTTGGCCTTACAGGTATATAAAGTCTTCAGCGCATTGTGCAGCCTGACGGAGCTGGAGGTGTGTCTGCTATCCAAGCAGCATCGCCTGGAGGATGAGCAGGACAAGCTAGTGGAACAGTATAAAGGTGTCTACTACTCCAAAGTGGATATTGTTGTCACTACGCCAGGTGAGTTGTGAAATAAACTGCCAGACATGATCCTTTAATTCGCGTTTTAATATTTCAGGTCGTTTGGTGGATCATTTACATGCCACAAAGGGCTTCTGTCTGAAGTCACTAAAATTTCTGGTCATTGACGAGGCGGATCGTATCATGGACGCTGTCTTCCAAAACTGGCTCTATCATCTGGATGCTCATGTTCGTTCGACAGCTGATCAACTGCTGACAGGTGTGCAGGCGCCGCTTTGCTACCAGGAGCTGCTCAATAGTTGGGGTAAGCAGCCGCATAAGCTGCTCTTCTCGGCCACTCTCTCCCAGGATCCTGAGAAGCTGCAGAACTTGCGTCTGTTCCAGCCCAAGCTCTTTACTACGGTGCTTACTATGCCAGTTTTACAGCCTGCACCTGACAACGGAGAACTGCCTGATCAGTCCAGTAAATTTATTGGAAAATATACAACGCCTGCGGAACTGACGGAACAGTACTGCCTGACGGAAATGCGACTGAAGCCACTTACGCTGTATGCCATGGTGCTTTCGAATAATTGGAAGCGGTTTTTGTGCTTTACTAACAGTGCCGACACAGCCAGCCGTTTGGCCTATGTGCTCGTTCATCTGTTCAAGGACTCGCCGATATGCGTTAAAGAGCTATCCGCCAAAATGTCCGCAACAAAGCGAGGCTATCGCCTTTCCGAATTCGCTCGTGGCAATATTCACGGCCTCGTCTGCTCGGATGCATTGGCCAGAGGCATTGATGTGCCAAATGTGGACGTCGTAGTATCCTATGAAGCGCCGCGTCACATCAAGACGTACATACATCGTGTGGGTCGTACGGCACGTGCTGGCCAGAAAGGCACTGCCATAACGCTGCTCACGGACAAGGATCAGGCGAACTTCAAGAAAATGCTCTACGAAGTGGGCAAAACAATGGGCGAGGAACTTATCATCTCGCCGGACATTGAAGTCGAACATGCAGCCATCTACAAGAGCGCACTGGAGCAGCTGCGCTGGCGCCAAGAGAAAATGAAGAGCGCCATCAAGGTGCAGAAGATGCGCATTAGTCGCAAAGCAGATATGCACAAGAAACCTGAAGAGGAGATGACTCTCATGGAGAAACTTCAGCTCAAGATGGGTGTCCAAGAGCACAAGGTGAAAAGGACGATAAAACATGCCGCTGTAAAGACCCAGAAGCGGACTAAACGTAAACACATTAAAGAGTAAAAAATGTAAAAGTCTCTTGTGGGGGAATGTTCAATAAACGTAAATCTATAATAAAATGTATATAAAAAGGAATTTTATAAATTGATAAAAGCAGAGAAATTATATAGAGCAAAGGTCCATGATCAGAAAGGCTATATACAAGTTGTACTTTGCGGCATAGGATAATTCAGTATACTCGTACGCTCCTATATAAAATAGTCTGTGTCTGGCCACATTTTTATTGGGCAACACATGCGCTTGGCAACATTGACGTTTTGCAACACTTGTGATTGGGAACATTAAGATTTTGGCAACATTTAAGCTTGTCAACATTCTCGTATGGCAACATGGAAGTTTGGCAATGGATGACTTGGAGAAATGTACTTAAATGTCGAGAGGTACGGGAGTTGGGTAAATACCTGTTACATAGAGCGAGGCGAAAATATATTTATAGGAAAGCTAAAATGTATAGAATTATATTATGTATGACTGTCTTATCACTGTGAGAGAGTCAAGAGTCAAGTGATTCCCCCACGGGTACATTACCGAAAGCATAAAGAAAATATGACTAAGCATAATATCTTTTGAATACTCTATCAAGCTAAGCTTGGAATTTAGCTTATCAAAATAAATAATAATAAATGATGAAAAAAAAGGTCAAATTTATAAATAAATAATAAGTATCAATATCAATTTTAATATTTATTTAGCTCGACTAATATATTTGCGATGTGTTGCCAGTTTATTAACCTAGCAAATAAACTCTTGCACAAAAGAGTACCCCAGGCTGCCCTTATCGAGCTATTTAAATAGCTTGCTAGTCAGAGGGAATCTCAAAAGTTAAACAGCCAACAAGATGAACACATCAGCAGTCAAGTTTCTGACCATTGTAGCGCTCTCCGCCTTCGGTAATTAATCACATGAACAGTCAGTCAGCTCTCAGAACCTCTGGCTAATCATCCAGATCTCTAATAACTTATAGCACTGTGCGCTACGACGCAGGCGTTGACCATTGAGCCGCGCAGCAGTTGGGGAGCAGCGAGTGCTCGTTCGCCCTCTCGCATCAATGGCGCTGTGGAATACGTGATCATCCATCACTCGGACAATCCCAATGGATGCACCACATCACAACAGTGCCAGCGCATGATCAAGGCCATTCAGTCGGATCACAAGGGTCGGCGCAACTTCAGCGACATTGGCTACAACTTCATTGTGGCCGGCGATGGCAAAGTGTACGAGGGCCGCGGCTTCGGACTGCAGGGCTCCCATGCGCCCAGCTACAACCGCAAGAGCATTGGCATTGTCTTCATTGGCAACTTTGAGAGCAACGCGCCCAGCGCACAGATGCTGCAGAATGCCAAGGATCTCATCGAGTTGGCCAAGCAAAGTGGATACCTGAGGAGCGACTATACCCTGCTCGGCCATCGCCAGACCAAGGCAACTGCTTGCCCCGGCACTGCGCTCTACAATCAAATTAAGACGTGGCCGCACTGGAAAGAGATTTAGTTTTACTTTAGTTAGAGACTTAACAATATTACGTATTTCAGTAGATTAAAAAATGTTATATTAAATAAATAATAAATACTATAATATATATGTATATGCAAACATTAGTTTACATTGCAATTTCAAAATCTATTTCACCTTTAAGCGTGTTTGCAAGCTGTTTAAATATGTGAATCTATTTATGAGTCTACTAACACTTCAGCAGCTGATGAAGAGAAAGGTATGTTTGCTGAATAAGTCTATTGAATCTGATATAATCAGCATCCACCTATTTGTAGAGTCACACGATTTTCTATATGTTCTGTGTGTAAATTAATTGAAATGGAATTATTTATTTAGTTGTTCATAATGATATTTGAAGATCTCTCTTTAAAGTAAATTATATTTATGAGCAGCTGATCGCAATTTAATATTCGGAAAAGATTTCACAGAAATTCAGAAAATATACATATGTATGTACATATAAACATACATTTGCAATCTCAAAGAAGTAGTCTTGTGTCATCAAGCTAAGCTTTAGCAATGCAAATTTGCTGGCCTTGAGCTGCACTCGGCCCAAATGGGCTCGGCCATGAGTGACAAAAAAGGGCTCAGCTCCTTAAATGGGCGATTGCATTTGAAAGGCAAATGCAATGCAACTGACGTAATGGCAGGGTATATAATTAGCCAAGCTGCTGGCAACATGGAACAGTGAACAGCTAGCCAGCTGCAACAGCAAATCCTCACCAGACACTACTCACAATGAAGCTGGTGAGTGGAGAGGAAAAACGTTTGTGGAGCACTTCTTAGCTAATGCACTATTTGCAGCTATTTTACAGTTGCCTTCTCCTGCTGCTGGCTGCGATCGTGGTTCAGGCCAGCGTTTTACCTGCCAGCACTAGAGTAGCCATTCCGGCACCGGCCCTGGTTCCCGTGTCAGCGAGTCATCAATTTGTGGCGCGCAACTACAATGGCTTCTATGTGCCAACGACGACGACTACTTGGCCAGCTTGGACGTCCTATCCGAATACCTACTATAAGTACAGCGGCGCCTATCCCACCTATACCTATCCCGGCTATAGCTATTCCTATGGCTACTATCCCAGCTATCCCAGCTATCCCGGCTATGGCTATGGCTATAAGAGTGTTTGGTGAGGGATGGCAAAAGGGATATATAGATATATTATTGTGATAATCAAAAACTTTACTAAACTAGCTATATGTACATATGTATATACAAATTTAAAAAGTATTATATTCTCTGATAAACAGCAGAAATAATAATAAAATACTAATTCAACGACTCTAAAATGAAACTTGATCAACTTTATTTACTCAAGAGTAAAGCGATATAAAAATATTATTTGGGCCCATAATAGATATGTATTAATGTGCTAGGCATTAAAAGATGAAAGGTGCATTGGCTGCAGTCAGTTGCCCAAAGCGTGGAAAACCAAAAATTGAGGGAAAAGCAGCCAAGCCCGACGGAGTGGCTACCAGACGAGCAGCTGGGGCGAAGGCGGCATTGAGTTGATTGAAGTAGTCCAAGCGCTGGCTGCTCGAGATGGCCAAAGGAGCAGCTCCTGGAGCGCCAAGACCATTAAAGCCAGCGGCTGCCAAGCCAGGAGCAGCAGGCAGCAGAGTAGCAGGCTGAGCAGCAGCCAGAGTCGCTACGAAAGCCAGCAATAATATGTAGAGCTGAAGCCAATGGAAGTAGAATTATGAGAATTTTAGTTTAGATATTGGATCAGTATTAGGTTTCTTAAATTCCCTTGGGATATATTGATCTGCCCACCTTTTGCTGCATGTTGTAAAGGATATGCTTGCGAGTCGCTTTGAATGTTGAATGTGCAAAGACTTGATGTTGCCATTGGCTTTTATAACAACTGAAAGATGAAGTTCCGCACAGCTCAATCTGGACGTATTTGGTCGAACAATTAGGCAAATTGCATGCGTTCCGATATAGATGATGTGGTTACGACATGGCTTTGTCAGCTTTTTGGTCAAACTCGCATCGAGCGAAACTTAAATGCAGCTCCAAATAAAACGTATATGCAAATTATGAAGCAATAGAGTTTAAGATAGCATTGTAGCAATTCCTAAATTGCTTGATAAAAGATATTAATATTTATAAAGATATTAATGACTCTTCCATATTTAGTTTACAAATACCAATCTTTAAATATAATAAAACTCTTTTTGTTTTATATGCTCGCTTCACGTTTTTAATTGATAGAACAAATATAATATTTATAATAATAATCATAATAATAATTATAATAACTATTGTATTCGTATTCGTATCGTATAAATGTAAATCATATTTGTATAAATATCTCGTATATATCTCAATATGTTTATAGCTGCTTGGGTTACGTGAGTTACCTGTTGATCGATCAGTTTTGTTCGATTCGTTTGTTATAGGCGCTTCAATATGTATTTATGTGTATGTATATATACGTCTATATGTATGTATGTAGTTAAATAATAAACACTTTAGGCTAGTTACACTTTGTATGGTATGTGTTAGACGAGTTCGCATGCAAAATGCACTTTGGATAGTTATTGTTGATGATAATTATGATAATACATATGTATGTATGTATATAACACTAAGCTAGACGACATTTAGCATAGGCATTAATTAGTTGCTTTCGTTACTTAGAGGATGAGTATTTGGATTTAAATAATGTTAATGTACGTAACAAACGCTCTATTAGTTATCGTAATCGTTAATCTTTACGGTTATCGAATTAAGTTTAGCATAAATAACTAGGTTAGTTGGTTGAAATAGTTGCAAATCTCTCAATTTTGCCTTATATACAATCATGACTCGACTTCATTTAATAGCAATTGATATTTCGTCGGAGCGCCATCTAGCGGTCGATAGACTCGGGCAGCGCAAGTCGTATGGTTTACCAAAAATCAGAGGAGGTCCGTAGGCATGTACATAAGATCACAGTCTATTGTTTAGTCTAAAATATATGTATGTATATGGCAAATGAGTAAATGAGTTTGACTAGACCAACAGACAGAGAATTACTGAATTGGACTGCAGAGGGCAGAGGGATACGAGGACGCGACTTGCTCTACCAAAGCACATCGTAATCGTAGACGTGCTCAGACGAGGCTATGATCAGACACTTGACGAACTCATCAAAGGTGCGTTTCAGCTTCCATTTTTTCGGCTTGCGCAGCAGCTGCAGCGGCTTCAACTTGATCTTTCGCTTCGTCTTCTGCTCGTTCGCCTCGTGCCAGGGACTGCTCGGAGTGGATGTGGACTTGGATTGCTTCTGCGGCACATTGATGTAGTCATGCGGCTGCAGTTGCTGCTGCTTCTGCTGCTGTAGGCGCTGCTCCTGATAGTAGTGATTGAGATTGGTCAAGTAGTAAAAGTCGCCATCGTTGATGACATCGATCTCGGCATAGTTGCCGCCATCGCTCTCTGGCTGCTCGGCGAGTGCTGGTTTGCTATTGCATGAGGCCTTGGCAAAGAGTTGATCAAATCACATGTTTTCATCGAACTTTGCGAAGTTGTTGTCCTCGTTCCACTGGAATTTGTTGGCATCCGCATTGCTGGACTCCTCCTCCTGCCCGGGCAGCGGCTGTTCGTCGGGCGACTTGAAGAACTCATCGTCCTCGAAGGGATCCTCTTGCTTTTTGGCAAATATATTAACCGATTCGGATTTTTTGATCAGCTCCTGGCGCTGCTGCAGCTTGCTGCTGCGCATGTTCTGCTTACGGCTGGAGGCTGAGGGCACTGCTGGCGACGCCTGCTCCTTATCGAAGTCAAACGAGGCCTTGGCAAAATCATCCTCAAAGGCGGCATCATCGAACTGCGACACCTTCACGTTGTCATCGAAGCGCAGCTTCTGGGTTATGGGTGGCGTCTGACTGGCAGGCGCTTCCATATCGAAGTTGTCGTTCCGATGCTGCAACTGCTGCTGCTGTTGCTGCTGTTGCAATTTCTCGCGCTCCGAGAAGTCGTTGGAGAAGCGGAACAGCGACTTGGAACCCACCGTGCTGCTGGCCGAAATGAGTCCAGCTGGCGTGGAGTTGCAGCTGGATGCAGTGCCTGCTGGCGCTGGAGGTGGCGAGCTCTGATTGAAGTCCGACTCAAAGCCATCATCGAAATTGAATTTTGTGCCACCGCCGCCGCTGCCAACACCGACGCCAGCTGAGGACTCACCGCCACTCATCATGACCGCCGTGCTGCTGGCATTCGATCTGGGCGTCGGTGTTTGCTCATAGCTATCCACGAAGCCATAATCACTGTTGGCGCCACGTGGCCGGTTCTGCCCGGGCAGCTTGGCCAGTGTGGGCGCATGGCGCTCCTGCTGCCGGCGCTCGCTCTCCAGCATGCGCTGGTGCATCTCGTGGCGACGTCGATTCAGGCGCTCGAACTTATCCTCATCTGTGGGCGGCTCGTCGTCCACATAATCCTCGTCGTCGTCGTCATCGTCGTTGCGCTGGCAACTGATGTAGTCGTAATTATCCCGCACGCCACGCCCACTGCCATAGCGTGCGCCGGCTGTGGCCAGATCCTTGGTGCTGCGTGCTCGCGTCTTCTTGCGGAATCTGTGAAGAATTAAGATGTGAGTTGGGAACCGTTTTGCATCCGCTTTCAGCTTCCACATACCTACGATCCTTCTCGCCATCGGAGGGCGTTTGACCCAAGGCTGCGGCCCGGCGACCCTCAGCCAAACGGCGCTCAGTCTCTGCAGCACTGGCTGGTCGCTTCCAGGATTTCTGTCCAGGCGGCGCGGGCTCTGAAGAAATGGGAAGAAGGTTGATATGAATATTTAAAAAAGGCAATTCAAAGTCTTTACTCACCCTCACCATCCCATGGACTGGAGCCGCTGCTTTTCCGTAGGCGCTGAGGCGCACCTGCTACCACTTCTGCGCCTAATTGACTGGGCCTTTGCAGGCTGCGTTGCCTCTGGAAGTCCTGCTCCGAGTCCTGTTCGTAGTCAATGTCGCCGGTCACCCGCAGCTTTGCGGATGACGTGGCCGGTTTACGCAGTGACCACGTCTTCAGCTCCCGATCTCGCTCACGATACTCATCTCTGCTGTCCAGGCTGCCATAGACATCGCCGCCACTGCCGAAGCTGCGTCTCCGTCGTGACGAGCTCTCAAATGACTCGACGCTCTCGTGATCAAACGACTTGCGCTCGCGCTCCCGTTCCCGCTCTCGGTCCCTGCTGTCCCGCTCGTAGATATAGTCGGGTCGTGATTTATAGCCCATTCCCATGGGCGATCGTCGATCATCGTAGACGTTCTCGTACTCAAATTCGTAGCCCGGTCGCGCATAGTCTCTGTACTCACGTTCCCTATACTTGGAACGTTCTCGTTCTCGATCTCGAGGCAGCGGCTGTCCACGCTTATCATATAAGGGCGCTGGCGGACCATAGCTGGAGCGCTCGTAGGCACTGCGCTCAAAGGAACGAGCACGCACACCCTGCTCCATCTCCTGCGGTGACCAGGTGTGATGTGCCGGATGATGATACCAACTGGGAGAGTCTGGAAGGCAGAATTAAAGAATTGCAATGAGTGAAGGAGAAGCAAGCTGGAGAGCAATTGAAAGAGAAGAAAATACTAGGAATGAAAGGGAATGCATATAACGGAACAGAGTTTCTGGCAGGTATAAGAGGAATGCTTGCAAAGGAACATACCCAATTCAAAGTTGTCCCTGCTGCGTGAGAGTCCATGCTTGAACTTGCGCTGGGCATGCTCCCGATCGCGACGAGCGCAGAGCTCAGCATCGTAGCTGAAAATGAAGAGTGAAAAACAAATAACTTTCGCTCGATTCGGCATAGGATTTAGGGACTTACTCGTAATCCTCGTCGCAGGAGTTGAGTCGTCGAGCGTGTCGCATGTAGTAGCCATGCGCATGAGGATGCGGTGCCATCTGCGAAGGCGGTGGCAGGTTGCGGCGCTGCTGTTTCAGATATTCGGGCGTCTCATCATCCCAAGGACTAAGATCTCGCGAGGAGGAGGACGTCTGCTGGCGTTCCTTTTTGGCCCAGCGACGCTGCTGCTGCTGCTTGGACCAGCCGCCGGCATCGTCGCGCGGATCCGAGCTGCAGGGTGACTCCGCGGTGTCATGCTGCGAAGTATTGGATGCGGGCGGCGGTGGCAGGGTAAGACGTGCCTTGCCCTTGCCGC